GGGTGGGTGGGTGAAGAAGATAATTTAGACCAAATTTTTAATCAAGAACACCCCCCCCCCCGGTCAAAGTGGTGTCCCACTTTACCAATGTTAAAATCTGGTCACCTTATTCTAAGTCACGTTATGATTTAGCATGTTTTGTGAAGCAGTCTCTTATGGCATGCTCAGCAAATCAGAGCTTAACAGTAGAAATGGTTTCAGCCATTCTAACTCCCTTCTGATCTGCTCTTTTAGGCATTTCCAGATAGCTGAAGGTGCAGCTATGCAAGTGAATGACATTGTCTTATTTCATTATGTTACAATATTTCTGCTGGGGTCCAGTTGTATAATTATGCCAGGATCAGAGGTGGGTTGCTCCCGGTTCGGCCCAGATCAGGTGCAGAAGCATCACACATGCCCACAAGCAAACCGGTAGTAAAAATAATGGAAACCCACCACTGGCCAGGATTCAAGGAGATATGGTTGTATCTGAGCAAGATCAAGTAAGAAGGAAGTACAGCAGACAATAGATTATTAACCAAGGGGTTTTCAACATTTCTTACAAATAATAAAATGAATTTGACTCCTCTCTGTGAATATAACTAATGATTTCATCTTAAAAATAATTTTATTAGGAATTTTAACAATAAGAAAAGATAACACAAAATAAAATTAAAGAAAGGAAATAAAAATAGAGAAAAGAATATGAAAAAAATATGAAAAGTGCAGAAGATAAAAAAGTAAAAAAGAAAATATATTTAAAGGTGACTTCTGTTCTTCCTTACAGCAGTTGCAGACAAATTTCATCTCTTTCTTCCCACTTTGTAATGTCATTACATGAATCAATATTTCCCAACCATATTCAATCAACAACGCCAAAAATCCTTTAACAGTTCTGGATAGAGAGAAGTTCCCTGAAGATGGGCTCCAGCATGAGTCCGAAAGTTCAGAAGACAATACCTCTGGTGCCAGTGACCAACCCAGATTAGATTTTGCAACATTATCCTGGTTCACATATATTCACCTTCATTCCTATGAACAATTCTTTCCGGTTTCTGAGAAAAGTCCATATAGGATTTCCAATTGTTTCATAATTATTCTCTCAGCTTGCTCATCCCTAAGCTTGATGCTAATTCCCAGAAGAATAAAAAGAAACCAACATTTATGCATTTGATTTATACTTTGTCCTTCTGCTCTAACAAGCACTCAAAATGACTCTGAATTAGTCAGAGAGGCACCTCATATTTACTGACGTGTTGATTATATAGCCACAAATGATGTTGCAATTATTATAACATTATTTTCTTGAACTGGACATCCTCTTTCTCCTTGCACATACCCAATAACATAGCTAAACAGCTATGTTTAGGTATATTTCTCCCTTTCCATGTATCTGTTTATATTATTTTAACACCAGCATTGCAACATATTTATAAATCTTTCCATTCTCCCATCCCAAAGCTACTGAAGAAATAGGAGGTTGGCTAGTATTTACTTCTGCAAATATAAATTATTCCTAGCCTTTTATTCTCGGGGCTTATTTTCCCCATACAGTAGGCCAGTGTTTTTCAACCTTTTTTGTGCAAAGGCACACTTTTTTCATGAAAAAAATCACGAGGCACACCNCAGCTCAGAGGGAGGAGTGGGAGACAGGGAAGGAACAGGAGTGGGGTGAGGAAAGGGGGAGCAGGGTTCTGTCCAGGAGGAATTGGAGGGCGGGGAGAAGGAAATGGGGCTTGGAAGAGCATTGGGGGAACTGTTAAGATTGTGGTGATAGGAGGAGGGAAAACATATGAACTGGGATGCTGACTTTTTTCATTTTCTCTTTCCATCACGAAACATCCTGTGGGTCATGGGGGCCTCAGAATACCCTCAAAGCCACTGTGTCAAAATTGTCCACTAAAAAACAGAAGCACCAGAGGCTCACAAGGAGGAAATTTTGAGGTGGAGTGTTGTCAGTATCTTTACAGACGCCGGCTGAAGCAAGAGCAACAGAGTCTGGAGTGAGAACGATCAGCCAGCCTATGGACACTGAGATGAGTTTCTTGACCGCTGCAAATGTGGCATCCTTGAATTTTTCCCATTTCCATGTAGCCGCCTTCCCCAGGAGCCAATGCAATGGTTCAGCAACCAGGTCTAGGAAAACAATGTAGAAATTAAACAGTCCGAGGAACGCTTGGAGCTCGGTCTGGTTTCGTGGTGTGGGAGCCTCCTGAATGGCTTTAATTTTTTTGTTTGTGGGGTGAATCCCTGAGCCGTCAATGAGGTACCCTAGGAACTCAAGGATTCGAGGATTTGGTAGCCTTGGCTTCATCAAGGGCGATCTGGAGCGTGGGGTTAGTCTTCGCAAGCAGCCTCCTCTGCAAATGTGTGTCCTGAACACCACAAATTATGTGGTCAAAGAGGTGCTCGTCCAGATCCCTGAATTCACAATACGCTGCAGCTTTTCAGAGTGCAGCAACATACTGATTTATCGACTCGCCTTCCCTTTGGTTCCAGAGGTTTAATTCATGCCTCTGGATGTATTTATTCAATAGAATTTATTTTTATTTTATTAACCACATACTGGCATTTCATTTAATATTTCTAAAATCCTCCAATAACACTAAATGCTTATGTCCTATTATGTCCTATTCTAGCTAAACATTCATAATATTTAATAACAGACTTTTCTAATCCACCTTTCCAAATCACTGTTGGCAATTTTCATCTAGTTTCCTTATATTATACGCATACATCTATATAGGTTGTCATTATTATTCCTCCTTTCTTTGACTATATCCTGTATCATAACATTTTCCCCCTAATAATCAAAACTTAACTGTATCTAACTTAATTATTTTTTATTAACCTTTGTATATAATCCAAAGGGATTTCTAATCTTCCTTTCATGGGTACCATTCATTATTCATATCCAATTATTACTGATCAAAATACTACACATTGTATACATTATTATCATTACCAATTATTTATTTAATTATATCTATTAAAATGTAAGTGAAAGAAATACATCCAATGACATCCACCCCCGTGTCTTTCTGTGTTGACTGAGCTGGTGTGGATGGGAGAGAGACTCCCATTTTCATAAACTGATGTGAGCCCTCATGCATGTTTCTCAGGATGCTGTGTTATAATCCAACCTCTTGGATCATCTGGGTCTCCTGGAGGTCTTCAGCATGAGTCCTTCTCTATCCCAGGCAGGAGCTGCTGCCCGAAAATTAACTAGCTATCTTCTCTTTTTAGAATCTCTCAGACCAATGGAGGAGATCCAGGAAAGATTTCCATTGTAAAATGATACTTTGTCCTGATCCTAATTCTCAAGAAAAGCTTCCTTCTCCCCCTATGGATGTCCCGGAGGATGAGATGCAGTCCCAGCTGCTGCTACCACTGAAAGTTAGCTCAGAGGTCAGCCTGACACTTGCTGAAGTCTGTTTAAGAGATTAAACTCCACACTTGGGAAAGACTATTTGGGGTGCAGGTGTATGTGTATGGGAGGGGGGGGATCCATCCTCTAGTCTTTCCAAGGTATCCATAGAGAGATGCGTTGCCTGGAGTTCCTTTGGGGCTCAGCCCCTCCTGGCTTGGATCTTCTGAGCTGATGGTCTGCAGAAAGGATCCAGACCAGCTCTGAGAGAGGAATGTGGGATAGGGAGGGAGACAGCAAGACTGGAGGGGAGGGAGAGAAACAGATTGAGGGCCGGAAAAATATGAGGAGGCATCCAGGAAAAAAGCTCCTGGATGAAGATGAACTGGAGGGGTAGCAGGCAATGTTTCCTCTAATTTTTTTTCAGTGCGAGCAGAAAAGTAGTGTTTGAGCAGCACATTTTCATGCCTGAGCACCTGAATTTTTTTCACAGACAACAACGAAATCAGTATTATTTGAAAATCAAAGTTATGTTTATTCAAGGTACCTGCTTAATTAAAAATGTTACATAATATCAGTATCACTTAACAACACTCCTGCTTAGCAACCAAAATGTTGGCTCAGAAA